AAAATATATTTTAGAAAGCTAAAAAAGCTTTTTGGAAAAAAAAATTTTTTTTACGAAATTTTGGGGGTACCCCATTTTGTCACCCCCCCCCCCTTCCCCTATCAAATTATTTTTTACCAATAGTATTTTCGTTTAAACAAAAAAATTTTTCAATGCGTCTGAAATTTCAAAACACGTTGTTATTCAAAGTATCGATATCAAAATTCATACACTCGATACGTTTATTTCATCAGAGGATTCAAGAGAATAATGCTGCTAGAATCCGATTACTATTATTGATTGAAACTTAGTACGCTGGTTTCGAAATAGTAGTGTAAATTTAAAATAATTATTCTAGTTGACTATTCCTGAAACAGTCATCAGATGAGTTCATCAATCTCACAATCAGATTGAACTTTTTTTGGAAATCATATAGATGCTTGCAGCGTAATTTTGATCAGTTTAATTTAAATATATATATATATAGACCCTGGGGTAAGTTGATGTTTGCCTTTGGTGGTTGTCGAGTTAATGCAGCCGGCTCACCGTACATTGTTTCGGCGCTGATCGCAGGATCGCACTAATAGGAAAATAGATAGAATACGTCAACATCAGATTATATATTAACTAACAGCTTTGTTCGCGTGTACTTGGAAAATAACTACTATCAGTTATGACGTTTATTGACACTTTGTACTCGTACTAGGATTAATTACCTTCTCCGTGGATATTGACAACTAAAGCTTTGAAATAAAATGAAGAGCTTCGGAAATTTGAAAGCTTTTGAGGATCAAAAAGATTGATGTTCGTTTATACTCGAGTAGATTCGAGGAATTTCGTTAATTTAATAAAATTAGCATATACATTTACGTTTAATTAATTAAAAAGAGAGCTTTTATGCTAATTAAAAAAAATAGGTGTGAAATATCACAAAGTTGTTATTATTAAATTTTGTTATTTGCTGAATCACACATGTTTAATTGTTTTTTATAAAGTTAATACACTTAATAAACATTTATATTGCTTAAAACATTTTGCAAAGCATGAGAGAATTTATTTTCGAGATCCATAAGTCAAGGGCTTTACGGTAAGTAAACACTTTTACTTAATCTTTTTATACTTTGTTCTTTTTCTCGGCTTTGTAAGAAAATATTCCACTAATTTTTCTTTTCTTTTCCTAATAAATTTAAAGGATATAGAACATGTATTAATTACCTCGAAATCCAATTACATTACCGACTAATATGTAAATTAGTATTATAAAAAATTTTTATTACGACTTGTTATTACTGTAATAAGTCACAAAGTTATTGTGATGATACGAAAAATAATAAATGTTCATTAAAATGTTATAAGCCAAAATATAGAGCTAATAAAGTAAATGGATAGAAAAATGTTTTATAATAATGCTATAACATCATGTACTCAGACATCGATCGTAAAGTAAAAACTAAAATTTTTAGACCGCCTGTGTATATGTGACTTTCATAAAGTTGTACCAAAGCGAGACGATTTGTCAGGTTAGGGGATTATAGTCAAGCTTAATGTCGCCGCGTCGAATGTATACGAGTGTAGTTATACACTCTCATACCAAGATAACGTTCTAGCGAATTGTCAACTTAATACCATTTACTTTTATTATCATTTTTCCTCTATCGAGGCAATTATTTCTCCCGAGTCAAAAATTTTTTCTCTTCAATGTATTTTATAAGTAATATCAATTGTCAAAATAATAATTTTATCTTTTGTTCTATAATTTATAAATTAAAGTTCTTTAAAAATTATTCGTGTACAAATCCTCTCATTATTTAGATACGAAGCCGTGGGTTATTTATTGGCAGATAAATTTAAAGAGGAGATAAATCTTGGCTTATTAGCAACCTCACTATTGATTACCAGCACATTTTCTTTTTTAAATTGCTTTTAATAATAATAATAATGAATAGTTGATTTTCATTTGTAAAAAGTAAAAATCACTCATATACGTTTGTTTTTTTATTCAATTAAACTTTTTAATTAAAATGCAGATAGCAATTTTTAAATAAATATGCGTTTCATTTATAAAATTGAATTATAAATTTATAAGATAATTAAATTTTCACAGATAATTTTAGACTTTGAATAAAAAAAATATACTATTTTTTTTTGTTGAAACTAACTACGCGCTCACTTTTAAAGCCGAAAAATGAGTGTGTACTGTTTTGCTCGACTTTATATTGCTTTTAATTAGTTGTTGAAATGTTGACTAAAGTATATAATTATTCAGATTTGTATAGCAAACAATTTTTTTTCGTCTTTACTGTATTTATTCTGGTGGTGGTTCAAGGTGCATGAGCACGTTCTCAACATTATCAGTGTAGTACTTAAACACATTAATTCAAGCCTTCAATTATCCAAAATTTTAATAAACAACAGTATAGTAATTTAAAAAAATTTTTTTAAGTCAGTGTGATATTGTTCAGTAATGTTAATGAAATTATATAATTTGAAATAGTATAAAACCACTCGAATTACAAAGTTCTATTGTTGCATTAATATTAAGTGAATAATAAAGTTAAAGCGTAAATTAATTTATCGGCTAAAGAAAAGTTTGTAATTGCGTTTAATAATCTACATAAATGAGTGTAGGGTATAGTGTTGGTTGAGGAAGTAGAAATTAAATATATTATTAAATTAATCTAGGAAAATGATTGATGTAATAAGACAAAATTTTCACGATGCGAGACGTTATAAATTCTTAGGTGGTTTAACTTGTTATTCCTAAAACGTAGCATCGTTACCGCTCACCCGTATATATTTTATTGTGTAAGGTCCTTCCACGCTCTACCGCAAGCGCACTAGTATCATTCTGCAGGATTACTGCAGACGACGGTTAATTCACTAGTTTATATGTTAAATTTATTCTTACTCTCTTCAGATAACACATTGTTAATTGGAACAAAAAAAAAATCAAAGTGCATACACGTTCTGACAACCATTTAATTCCTTTTTAAACAATAAGACTTACCTTTTCATAATAAACTTTTAAACAATATAATTAAATGCCAACGTTTTTTTTATCATACATTTCTTTTTATTCAGCACAAATAATTCTAATATCAATAAATATACACGTATGTAGCAAAGCCACATGTATATATATGTATGTACAAATAGTTTACACCTAGCATAATTAATTAACGTTCTATTTATTTAATACAATGATTTGTACATAAAGCACTAGTCCGCTAAATAAATTACTATTTATTTAAATATTTTATTTCTGTTTGATTAACAACTAGATAAACTGTTTTCACGTACGGTAAATAATACATAACAATATTAATTGACTACATTGATTAAAACTAATTATTTTATTTTATTTCTTTCTATAAATTTGCTAAAAAACAGATATTACTAATAAATAATAAAACTTGTTCACACCTGGATTTGTTAAAAATGTGATTTGTTTTCTGGTTCTATCGCTCTCTGTTTATTGTTTTTTATTCTCATGAATAATAATTGTATCAAATAAAAAAAATGCCATAAGCCAAAAATAAATGCATCATGACAATGTATATCCAGAAATGAACAAGTTCATTTTTTATTTAAATTTTATAAATTTGATTTTTAATCAATGTGAAAAAATATAGTCTGTTTTTTTATTTTTTTTATTTATAACTATTGGGTATAATTTATTATTTTTTTGTCACAATTTTAGATAATTGGGGGTTTTTTTTTTTTATTGTTATTATTATTAATACAATATTAGTGTGATGTTTTTTTTTTTAATTGTTATTATTATTAATACAATATTAGTGTGATTACTTCTCAATAAAAAAATTGAGATCAACATTAAAGTATCTTGTTTCTTTATATATTTTTTGATTGACAGACTGTTGGAGTAATATCGAAAAGTTTCATAGTATATAAATCACTGGTTCTTAAATATTTATAGTGGTTGTTATAAAAATTTTCACAGTCGTTGAAATTTAAATAATTTATTTTATTTATTAAGAAAACTATTATTTTACTCATCGCGGTGATTTTATTATCTAAAAAAAAGAAATAAATCTTAAAAACTTATAATTTAAAAAGTTCTGCCTCCGGGACAGCGATATGTATTTGTCTACACAATAATATATATCTATTAATATTAATATAAATATAATAAATAATCAAATTTTTTAGACTCTATATATTTAAAAAAATAAAAAAAAACGTGGCAGTGATGACTCGATGTTTAAAAGCCGTCGGATTGACGACTGAAAAAAAATAAAAAAAAAAAAAAAAAAAAAAATTAAAAACGATCAAGTTAAGTGAACTGTGCGTAGAGTTTAGTTGCTTTTGATAGAAAATCGATTATTCCTGAGTCTTCAATTATCCGCATTTTGTCTTGGGCACCTTCAAAAGGTAACAAAGCCTGGATGATTACGTTGAAAATGCTGCCGGCAGCTAAATCCCCCCTAGAAAGGTATTGACACACCAATCTCTCTTGTGAATGATCCACTCTCAGTTGAACCGGTAAACCAAACCAATCGATCGACTCCCGTTGGCCCATCACCATTGATTCCCGGTGAACTCTGTGTTCCAGTACTTTTTTTTTTAGGTATTGTCCGTTTAATTATCCTAGTAGGCCAAGTACGATAAAAATTATCTTGAGAACAGCGTTTAAGAAGGCAACACGGCATCGTAGCGCGTAAATTACTTAACTGGGAATGCTTAACGTTGCACCCGCAGTGGCGCCAAGTATTTATCGGCGTTTGAAATTCTTCCGGTGGTTTGAGTATCAGCAGATCCTCGACAGGTTCCAACGTACCATTTACACCAAGACTTTCCCCTTCGAGAGCCAATGCGGGGGTAAACGTGGATCAAGAAGTCATCAGCTGCTCCAAGGGGTACTTAAACTTTGTAAAGCAAGTATCGTTTTCGTCGAGCGAGCTCTGTGTGCCGACGTTTATCAGAGGTACTCGCCCAGAGATATTGTATGACAAACGGGGATGGCGTCTCTTGTACGGCTCCCAATCCCCAGCTTCCCGTCGTCAGTGAGTCGCAATAACATCGGGGGCGCTTTTGGTGCTTTCTATGCTAAAAGGCCTCTTTTGGTCAATCTCAATAATCGCTTCTGCGCGATACCGCGGGTCCGAGAGCGGGCATTTCGGCGTGTCTGAGTGTTGAGAGCTGCTATTGGTTGGATTGGAGGAACCGCGACCGGACCCATAGAGACTTCCGTACCTCTCGCCAGATCCTATGGTCGCCTGTCTGGAGAGAATCGGTTCTTTGAAACCAGGTGGTGCGCGTTCTGGTTTCGGACTCTGGTATCTGTGGTAGCTCGGGTACTCGGACTCTGCGGCTAGTTCCGTCGACTGAATCGGGGGGGAGTAGCTTTCGTGCTCGTGAAATGACCACCCTGGGGGAGCGGGTATCGGGGTGTTGTGTCTTGAACAAATAATTCCGTTTGTAACGTGACCTCGAGAATCTGAATTACAAATGGAGCAAGGCTCAGACGCGAAACGTGTTCTTGGAGTACTCGAGAGACTTTGCTTGGGGCTTTGCGAAGATAACTGACCTTGTGAGGGCTTACGAGAGGCAGACGTACCTACCCCGTTTTGAGAGCTACCGCTGCGGTACCCAAAGGTCGAAAAACCCGGAGATACTCGGGGATCGGATATACGAGGATCAAAAAGGCTTTCACGGGTTTGACAAGAACTGTCGCACATCTCTGGCTCCTCCTCGTTGGATTCCTGTAAACGTTCTTGCGTAGCGTTACTCATGTTATTACTCTGATGAATATCGTTTATCTCGACACCGGCGTAGTTCATTTCTAGGACGTGTTCTTTAGTAGTGTAGTCGTGGGCTATCAGTGTTGCACCTGTTACCAGCTCTTTGCTTGGTTCTATCTCCAGACTCGGTGATTCGCTATCACGCTGACGGATATCTGTTTGAGATTGGGACAAAGGACACGGCGTTGCTTTCCGACCAATTTCATCCAGCCGATTTTCCCGAGACATCCGAATATGCTCCTGTAACAGAGTATTAACTCTTTTTAACTGTTAATATATTTATTGTCAAAAATATTAAAGTCCAGATAGCAAATAAACTTTTATGGGTAGTTAAATTTTTGCGGTATTTTAAATTTTAATGCCTTTTATCCTATATATAATGATGATGTTATTATGAAAAAATAAACCCAATAAAGTACAATTTTATGGAATAAAATTTATATGAGGGAAAAACTTACTTTTATTATTCGATGATCACGATGGAGCTTACGAACGCAATTGAATATGAAGGAAAAACACATCCCAAACATTATTAACGAGAATATTACAAGGATTATTATAATTCTAGTTGAGTCGAAGGCAATTGAACTTTTGCTAGGCTGAAACATGACATAAAAGTACTTTTATTAAAAATAGTTACACTATTTAATTTGAAATAATAAATAAAATTTAAACATGTGGCTTTGAAAGCCAGATTTTAATAAAATATTATTTTTGTTGTTGTGTACTAAACGGCTTTTGTACGATAAATTTTGATTATTGACACAAATTACAATTGATATTGCACTTGTTAATAAATTTTAAATAATAGTTTTTAGGGGTGTGCGAATAATTCGAACTTACGAATTATTCGAAATTCGACGAATAATTCGAAAAAATTCGAATTATTCGTCGAATTTCGATTAATTCAAAAACTCGAATTATTCGATTCGAATTTCAAATCGAATATCAATACTCGATTGGAACGATATTCGCACACCCGTATTTGAAATTGTCGATAAGTTCATTATTAATCATTCTTATGTACCAATTGAATCGTTTTCACATTCTCTACAATGATTCTAGGCCAAACAGTTGATTAGATTAGTAACTTGGAAGAAATTTAGAGTTTTCATTTTTACATGTCCGCGTGGCTATGCTATCAAGTCTTATCAAGACTTATCAAGAGTTAACTAGATTAGGGTTTAAAATTAGGGGTGTGCGAATAATTCAAACTTACAAATTATTCGTTCCGAATCGAATAATTTGAATTTTCGAATTATTCGAAATTCGACGAACAATTCGAAAAAATTCGAATAATTCGAAAAGTTTCGAATTATTCGAATTCTTTCGAATTATTTATCGAATGTTGATTAATTCGATTCGAACGATATCCGCACACCCCTAATAGTTTTACAATATTTTGTTATATTATATTTTAATGAAAAATCTTATTTAAAACTTATTTTAAAGTTTAATTTACAATTATTTTACTTCATCGGTCAGTACTTTTGGATAAAATAAACCAAATAATTTACTGAAACTATTTATAACTTACTAAAATAGTATTTATCTGAAAAGTATACACATATTGTTTAATTTAGCTTGTTGTTGTTTCATGAGCAACTCGCGTTTAGCGAACAGTAAAAATAAAGATGAAGAGAATAGAATTTATTCTAAAGAAAATGAAACAAACTTTCGTTTTAAATTTATAATGTAGAGGTTAATTTAAATAAAAAGCATTCAGACTATCATATCTCTGCAGAAAATTGTTTATTATTTTCTTTTAAAAACGTAAACTTTACGTGTAAATTGATAATTTAGCGGTTTTATAAATTGTTTTGTAATAAATGGACATGAGAGTAGGGTAAATGAATATTCAAATGAAAAATGAATATTAATAGACGAACAAGTGTGAATTAAAAGTAAAATTAATTTCTCATTTGAAGAGAGATATGATATGAAAGGCTCGCTGTCTAGTTCAGAGTAAGATAACTTTTATTTGGGATTTATACTTGAGGGTTCATATTACCACAATCGAAGTGAGGGCGTTCCTCGAATTTCCCGGACAAGAAGCATAGTTAAACGATAAAGCGGTAGGAATACCTCGATGAAGTCATGAGATTTGCTTGGGGTTGAATCGTTATGAGGATTACACTAGTGGCTTCCCTACTTCACTGGGCGTTTCTATAATGCAGCTATTGCAGCTATGAACCAGAGACGACTACTATATATCAGACCTAAACCACTGTCTGAATTGTAGAACACGCTCAAAGTATACTAAACCACTAACTGCATTTAAATAATCCAACATTCCCATTTTATAATACTGATATCAAATTTTAATTCCAACAAAACTGTTTTTCCTCGATTTTGACTTGAGTACGTTACCAGATGTTGATTGTAAGAAAGTTAGTGACAAAGAGTATTATTCTTCGGCTTTTAATGTGACGCAGAATAATATTTATCTGGAATAAACTCTTGAGAAAACTATTTGGAGTGAGAAAAGCCAAAAGATGTGCTGTTTCGGGAGCTGTCAGACACTTTTTACTTTATTGTGTCTTTTTGTTTAGTCTATCCCGCTTTATTTATTTTTTTTTTTTTTTTTTTTTTTTTTGATTCAGAGAGTTGATTACAATAGTGCAGGGACTTGAGGCAGTTTGCAAGGCGCTTGACTAAAACAATTCCTATTCTACTCATGCCAGGGGCATTAACCGCAGTCGTAACCGCATGCCTGCGTTACAACTAGAGTCCATTTGGTCCAGGAAACTAAGACTAGTGACAATCAATGGTTAAAAATTAAACCTTTCATTAAAAATTCTCTCTTGTTTACTTAAATTATTTACTTTTAATCCCTTCAAATGATAATACAGATCTAGATTAGTCGATTTTCATGTTAAGACCATCAAATCTCAAACGTACAACGAATTAACGTATTTCACTGTGCATTAGTTTCAAGCTGGTTTAGAATTTAATGCGACAGCAAATCTCATCGAATAGTTAAAGGATTAAGTGTAGCGTCAACAAGATCTTACTCGTTGTTGTCGGTCATCCTTTGTATCTTTATTAAATAATAATTCGTCCATTAGGCACATTTGAATTTAAACTAATATTTTATCGCTTTTAAATTAACTCCCACATTGAATTTAATTTTTGGATGTCTGATGAAGAATGGAGAGAAATATTTCTTAGCTTAACTAACCGGTGAGTTATCAAGATATACATAATTAGGTTGGTGTATACTGTAGAAACGCTTATCAAGCCTCATATACCGAGAAGGTATGTCTAATTACATGGCTTTTTGGCATACTAATAGTGCACCGTGTAATTTTCGAAAGCTTTGTTAATCGACTAGCTAACTTTAAATTACCATAAAGAGTTTAACTTTTTTAATAATAATAATAATAATCGTAAATATTAAGTCCAGCTGTAACTAGTATAAGGTTTTTTTTTTCATTTATTATTTGGTGGGCATACTGCGGTACACGGCTCAGACTTTGTTGTTGTTCTTTCGACGTTGTTGTTGTTGTCGTCATTGTATTTCTATATATTTGAGTTGTTTGTAATGTAACTTTGACTTGCATCCCGAGGGAAAAGTGAAATATTTACTTGTCGGATAATAGAGGTCTTTTCCCGATAGAATTGTTTGTATTTGTTGTGGCTGTGCTTTAAATCTGCTGTCAGGTATTGTCCTTTTACGATTGGTAATTCTCAGTATTTGTGACATTTACAAATTTTTATTGTCCATCAAATATATATTTAAAAAAAAACATGTTTTGATAATTTAATTTAGTTTTTATCTGTAAATTTTTTGACGCAAATAAACGAAATAACCGAAACTGCAAACCATGTGAAGAACCAAAGAACAGGAAAGAAATTCAAGATTCTTTTCCACTTACTTTGGTACGTGTGAATGAGTGTTTGACGATAGCTCCCGACGTTTTTTTTTATTTTCATGCAGCAGCGTTACTGCCGTACGGAAAGAGCTTTGCTGACGGCATTTTCTTTGATGTTAAAATTGAACATTCCGTGGTTGGAATGTTGAAAAAAAGTTTGCTTCAAAAGTAACCCAATGCGTATTTATTAATAACACAAAATCTAGAAAACTCACTTATTTTTTCTGCTCGCTATTGATAAGATTTAATATTCCTGAATATTTTATACAGCATCACAGAGAAGAAGAATTTTTATTAAACTTTTAAATTATCACCACAGTCTGCTCAGAAGTTTGTTTAATAAAAAATTTTTTTTTTTTTTTTTTTTTTTTTTTTTTTTTTTTTTTTTTGTATGAGTAATCCAACTTGTGCATTACACTGGAAAGAAAATTTATTTGCAATCATCTCTAGCTGTGAATAAATACTCTATTGCTTCAGATACTTGATTCTTAGGTAAATTTTGAGTTTATTTATTCACCGGTTGTTTTGAAAATAAAACTTATCGACTTTATCATTTTTTAATTTTAATTTTATTATATAAATATTTTTTAAATACTTAAATAATTTAAAATAAACTGTAAAATTTTTAAATGAAATAAAAGTACTTAAATTTAATCTTAATATGAAATAAAAGACTAATGCTTTACTTAATTTTTTATAAAAACTATAAAAAAAAAAAGACTGTAAAGTTTAAATACGGATAAAGACAGATCAATTTTTTTTTCTCAAGTAATCGAGGGGCGAATTTAAAACTACCGTTGGCTTCACTACAAAACTGAATATAAAATAACAATCGTTATATACTTATTTACATTAAAATATTTCTATATGAAATCCTTTTCATAAATTCTTATTTATACTTTAAATAAAAGAATTTAACAAGATGTGAATTGAGAGAAAGCGAAATTTATTTAAAGAGTTTGTGTGTAATACATATAAAATTAATATTCAGTCTTGGCGAACAACGGATTGTTCGGTGTCTTGTTCTGGTAAGTTGCCAAAAGTATGGGTATTGTGTATCGTTAACTTAAAGCTCTCATTCGTTGTCAAGCGTCTCTACATTCTCTCATGAAACAATCGAGAAATGTGTGTTGCACATGGACAGTAACCAACGGGATCATTTGGGACTGCTACCACCCCGTAATCGTAAATTTATTACACCTGGCTATAAAGTCTTTGCGTAGGCGAGCTATCGATTTAACTCTGATTATTATTTTATTACATTAAAAGAGTATTTACGAGGGTTGTATTATTTATTAAAATCATAAAATAACTCACCCCACAGATTGATACATCTTCGTCCCATTTGAGGCGACAGTTTTCTCGCTTATTGCACCGTAAATGTCCAGCGATACACGTTGCGTCATCACAATCATATTCATCATCTTCACACGCTATTGATAAAAAAAAAAAAAAAAAAAAAAAAAAAAAAAAAATCATTAATTATTGTAAAAAGTTATCAATAAATTTAATTTATTTTAATACAATCCTTTCATCTGAAAATCAGTAAAATGATTGGGAATTAATTTCTCTGAAAGCTTTAATGATTTGATGGTCCAAAAAAAGTTTAATTAATTTGATTAAAACGGATGGCTTTAACAGTTAAGCTGCTTACTGAGCCTGATATACAAATAAAATAGTAATCGGCATTGGTTAGACTTTAATCTCTCGTAAAACTTTATTTCTTACACACTTTAATTCTAGCTTTAAAAAGAGTTTAATTGGTGTGGAAATTATTAAGCCATAAGTTAAGTATCATTGAATATATCAATAGCAGATACTATTATATACTGTTACAGAAATATATACTATACCGAAAGCTTATAGATGCGAGAGAACAGTAATAGTGCTCCAGTATAGTTAGTGCAGCTCAAACTGAGTAATACAATACTTACATTGGACATTCGGCTCCTTGTCTCTAATGGCAGTCATGAGGGATTTGAAACTGCTATTGATCGCTTTGATTTCCAAGTAAAATCTCATATACATGACATTCGATTTAGTGTTTACTGTTTCCGCAATACTGCCGCAGAAATTTTTCACCAGCGAGTTCATCTCTGTTTTTTTGTCGAAGATAGAGAGAAAATTTGCGTCGCAGTCGTTTGGTTTTTCCAATTTAAAATACTCGAATGTCATTTGTATCTAAAACATCCATTCAATATTCCAATTTATTAAAATAATAATGTATAAAAAAAAGCAAGAGTCTGCACACTCTGCAGTGATTCATTCCATTAAATTAAATTTACGTTAGTTGGACTTTCGTGACTAAACTACGATATGAAATGACAAAATAATATCATTTTGTCATATAAGTTATTTCTATTTTTATTTCCCTCGTAATGAGTTTATGCTTTTAGTTCATTAATTCTTGGTATTTAATATTAAATAAAAGTTTCGTGTTGTACAACAAACAAACTTACCCGCCATTTCTCTTTAGCCCTGATGATCCACAAGCAGTCCAACGGCACATTGTTTTTCTGTGCTATTTTTCTCTCCTCTCCAATCAGGGTGTCGTTAATTTCTGCGTCGGCTTGTTCAGTCACGTATTTAATGCAAGGTTCCGGCTCGGCTGGTACTCCGACTGTCAAAATAATCTAGATAAATGATTCTAACTCGATATTTTTATTTATTATTTCTGATTTTCAATCCGCAGTTCTAATCTAACAACTAGATAAATTAATTTGACCAAGCCCATGTGTTTTACTACAAATTATCTCTTTTCCAAAATGTCTCATAATTTCTATCCGCCGGAGGTAATTTACATTATCATAGAGAACAAATTGCTCCGAAACCATTTGTTAATTACACGTATCAGGAGCCGGCAGTCAATAGCAGAGTGAAATACAGTAAGGCATACAAATTTTAGAGAATAGCTCAGTAATAAAAAATATTTACAGTCTGCGTACTGTGTTTGACAGAAGAATATATTTAATTAATAAAATACTATTGTTTTTATTAATCTCAGAGTAATAATAAAGTTGTTGAAAGCGAGTTTTATCGTTTATCATTATTATCAGATATTGAATTTAATGTAATAAATTTATCGTTAAAAGCCAATTCTGGTATTGAAAAAAAAAAAAAAAAAAAAAAAAAAAAAAAAAAAAAAAAAAAAAAAAAAAAAAAAAATGCTGAGATTTTTTATTGCAATTCATTTTACTTTTTTGTACAAAACATGTTTAATTACAGTATCAAAAAGTGATTGCAATATTTGGGAAGTTTCAATCAGCTTAAATATGATTTAATGCACTCGAAATGTTAATTTAATATCTACGAGGATAGAATCAAAGTATTAAATTATCATCAATTAAATTATATAAGACCTTCAAAACTCATAACCAGAATCGATATCAAACTTTAAGAGCAAAACTATCGAAACCGGGTCGGTGATAAAATGATATAATAATTTTTTAATATTATTATCTTCTTAATCAACAGGTGTGAAAATATATTTAGAAACAGTTGAATACTCACGATAAGTAGGCCGCGGTACTTGACTCCAAATGGCTTTGAACCCTTTGTATTCGATAGTATCGTCACTATGAAAATGTAGCCAGAGATAACGGGATCTGGATGTAATTTCAGGTGGGAAATTTTTATCACAGTAATTCCCAACCGGAGTTGAAAATCCGTAGTACCCGTCTCGTACCTCCAGATAATCAAACGCACACTCCAGTTCTTTGTCATTGGTAGGCATTGGAGCTTCCAGTTCAAAATAATCTCGGAAATCGAGTTTTATTAGCATCCCTTTATCCGCTGTAACATCAAAGAAAATATAAATAGGTGAGTAGTCAATTGTTCTCTCTATCTATTTTGTATCTCTGGTTTATTTAATTGAGAGTTTTTAATAATTGCGTATTAGGTAAATTGAAATGTATACTGTATTCATGTGATTGTAATAAATTTAGAAGTTCTAGGTAATTTAATTATAGCTTGAATTATAAATAGTATCAATTTCTCGAGTGGTTCAAGTATAACATAATCTAATGTACAGCCAAATTCAATTAATGGATCAGCTTCATGCCGTTATTTAATCTATCCAGTAATTATTTTACGTTGTTAATATTAAATCAGGGATATTTAACAACCAACGAAGGGTGTCTGTGGTTTTAAAATAATTACATACATTTTTAATTTAATTATTCATTAAATAAAATTTTAAACTGTCAAAAGAATGAATTTTTTGTAACCCTACTTGTAAAACAACGTTATTTTGGGGGAATATAAAAAAAAAAGTAAATAAAACAGCAAAAACTAGTTGTACATTCTCGACGTACAACATGAAAGTTTATTGTAGAATTATTCAACTGACTCTGATCATAAGGATTCGTTTTACCTTTAGTTGGCGTACAACCAGAAATACTATCTCTTATAAAGGCAAATGGAATATACATATATAATATGTACTTGATGTAAATACTCTCTAGACAGAAGGGTGCATTGAGCTTCATGTGCTGTCAGAAGGAGAAACCCTGGAGAGATTTCGGTAGAAAACCCAGCACTAACAGAGGGTTTTGATGCTCCAAATGATTGACGTATAGCTTGCTTTTCTCCTTTCAGCGAGAATATTACTACAAATACCATTTAAATAGAGTCACCTTCCTTACAATTGTGTCATTGGAATTATTTGTTAACAGTTGCAAATAAATAAGTTCTTGTTAGCAAAACAATTCAAAGCTACCTAATTGTTTTTGTATAAAATCAAACCCGAAAAGCATGTTAAAGAAATTTATTTGGTTCTACATAAAATATATAAGAAAACAACAACAACAACAACAACAATAAGAACGTAACTTTAAAAAGTACTGTCTCGGTAAAATTTGGTTGGAATTAGCGATAAAATAGCTAGACTAGAATAAGAAGGTAGTAACCAGTACACCGGGAGTAGCCTTCTTCTTTTGTGCTCACGATTCAAGATAATTAATGACGCTGCGTATTATCGATAGCACTTGGACAGTTGCCAGGTTCTCTCCTACAAACACATCACTTTTCTCACGGACATTGTGCTTCCAAGTTTACCTCCCTATTCCCGACTTAACTTCTATTCCGTCCGAGCAACTATGAGAATCCGATGCTCGAAAGATATCGCGAGTTGTTAAACGACGCTCGGAAAGCGCGTAGGAGATACCAAAATTTCTTAGACTACGACTTAAATTCCACCGGATGTTTATACTGTTTGCGAGTCATCGTGACAGTACTGAAAATTCTTAGACTTTCAAATACTTTCAGTGTTTCATTCTTTCACCATACAATAATTTTACTGTTTCTTGTTAACAAAATAAAAGTATACATTTAATATTTTTTCTTTATCTGTTTTGACAGTGGAATGTTCACAACAACTTAAACATTATTTTCATAAATTTCAAAAGTATTAAGATTGAGATTTATTAAAAATTTACCAGCTAGATCAATTCCTAAATTGCTAAAAGCAAAATTAGTTCCGAGTACCTTGTAATTGTTATTAAAGTCGACTTTAAGCTAAACTACGAGCTTAAAGTATCGAGGTTTTAATCTAAAAGCTTTAAGTTATGTTTAAATTTAATCATGTACCTACATGAAAAGCTAAAAAGTTTACCCCCACGGAAAAAGTATATATTCTAGTATATATTCTGGAATATATTCTAAAATATATTCTAGAATATATTCGAGAATATATTCTAAATATATTCCGGATATACCCCGTTTTGCCCAAGGAATATATTTCAAAATTATATATACCTGAATATATTCAGTATATATACGATGGACCAGACTATAGACCAGAGAAAAATTTTGAGTTAAACTGAATACAAGTGAGTGCATGCCCATATATTTCAGAATATATTCCTCGGGCAAAACGGGGTATATTCGGAATATATTCTCGGATATATTCTGGAATATATTTCAGAATATATTCCAGAATATATACTTTTTCTGTGGGGGTAGTTTGCACTATTAATTTCCCTTTTAACTTATTAACAGACTTTAAAATATTCATAAATATGCGAGTATACTTTTTTTGAGCATTTTTGAGTTTTTTCCATCGACGGAAAAGTTAATAATAAATATTTCCATTCAAAATCAACGAACATATTTCATTTTTTATAACATAATGATTTTAAACAAATATAAAAGAATTTCATTGTTATATTTTGCATTGTATATTGTAGAAAACAACGTAAATAATCTCACTCTGCTCATTACTTTCTCTAAAATGAAAACATGAACATGCAAATTTTCTCGTAACAATATCAAATTTAGGCGCGCAGTAGCCTATCGGATCCGGCCCTTGCTTACCAAACCATTGGACCGGGTTCAAGTCCGGCGTACACCAATGAATATTTTCAATATTTAAGTGTATTATACTGCTCAGCCCAAGAAATAAAACGAGTTCCAATCTCAAAAGTTTACCCCCTACCGTAGTCGCTCATGACCTTAGTAGTTTATGCGACTTTAAACAAATTAAGAAAAAAAAAAAAAAAAAAAAAAAAAAAAAAATATCAAATTTAGTTTGTACTTCACGAATTATTATTATTATTATTATTATATTCAACTAACGCAAAAATTCTTTTTCTGGTTGATAAAATAATAATTAAATTATTTCGAATTGATAAATTCTAAAAAATGAGGTATTAAATTAGCTCACAGATGAATAGACTTTATTAATTTATCCAAGATTAAATCTTTTATATAAAATCGAAAGACGTATTATATATTATATGGTATAGACTCTATTGACACCTTTTTAATGCTGCTGATTAAACTCGAGCTTTTTAATATAATCCTCTCAATCTCTTCTTATTGAGAACATTGATAATTTTCAATCCCTGCAATACATATCTTGAGCTTTCTTTTTCAAAAAAATAATTAAATATTATAAAGATGAGAGTGAATTAAATAGAACATGACTAGTCTATGATAACTGAATTTACGAACGAAAATTTAGCTCACCGAGTGAAGCATCAATACGTTGCTCTATTCATTGAGAACACACAGGGTTCCGTTTGTACAGATGATTCATGGTGATCGTGCGGGACAAACGAGATAGAGCTTTCCGTCATAAGCTCTGTGTTTGATTAATACAATAGAGGAGGCCAGAGTGGTGGACATTCAAGAAATGTGAGGCAGAAGCATCATTTTTAGATTTAAAATTCAAAATTCCCCTATGTTTTCATTTAACTTTCAAATTTATTTACAATTTTTATTTTTCCACCTCTACCATACAATTTAATATTTAGATTATTATCAAAATATCATTTCTTAATTAACAAGTCTACGATGCAAGTTATTCAGCGTAAACTTGTCGCTAAAATATTTGAAAGGTAAAAAGGTAATAATCAATAATTAAACGTCCATCAGCTCCTTATTATAGTCTACTATTAGATAAAATTTTTATTTAATATTCATTATCTCTTTATTTTAATACCAGGAGGTAATTTTATTGACACAAATAATGTTAAAAAAATATCAAGAAGAATTAAATAAACATTGATATAGATAAAGTTGTACTTGGTTCGGATTAAATGTTAATCAAATGGAACAAGTGGAGGATAGCTTCGGAAATACCAGAGTAAGAGACCGAATCTTGAAACCGTTTCAAGAGGCAGTAAGGTACTCTAAGTACTCACAGTAATTTAACCATCTGCCAAATGGTTACTGAGCGTATCCAAGTGGTTTTTGATGCTCAACCTTAACAGTGATCAACATTTACTTCTTTATATTTAGTATATACTCTCATTTGCTAGAATATTAGCTGCTATTTAAGAACTTTATGTCAATATTGTAAAAAACAAAAGTTATTTCATAACACAAATTTTTTTTATTACATTTTTTTGTATAGAAGTAAGGATCTCTTCTCTATAATCATTAACCAAATAATAATAATAATAATAATAATAATATGTCAAGAATTTTTTTATCAATTTTGTGTGTAAACTTTTTTTTTGTAAAGCTAATTAGAAAAAACCTAAGAAATGTCAGCTACTGTTTGTTTTCAATTAGAACAACCGGACTGAAATTGTAGCGGTAGTAATTGTAATTCCTCAATTTACCTCAGGTGTATTTATTGATAATTGGATACATAGAGACATAAAGACATGGACATACATGGAGTTGAGTTTTGTCGTATAACATAAAGTGTAATTTAACAGTGTGTGGAACATATTCTTGAAGCATAGCTCAGAGCATGGCAGTTAGTCAATAGTCACTCGACTATATACCATAGTTAGAATGCTTTGTATTCGTCTATAGTGATTGTGATTGTGATGGTAGTGGTACAGGCTACCCAACATAAGCTCTTATAATTTAACGTCAGCGTATAGCCATCGTGAGGGACGTTTGAAAGTTGGATGGAACTCTATTCAAAGACAGACTATATAATGTTCAGATTCCGGAAGATGCCTTCTTTGGCCGCCCAAAAGTTCAACCACAAAACTTGGACGACTTTTGGCAACAAACTACCATATTCCATCGAGATTCTCGTCTCGGAAATTACGTCCTCTGGTCAGTCTTCCGGAGTGATAAGTAGTATTGAAAACTCCCCTCTTCATACAAGTAACAGTAACATTCTACTTACTTTACATCGTCTTCAATTGTCGAGATAACAATATCAATTTTATTTAAAAAAAAAATAATTTCATTTTTTATCTAAAAAGAATTTGAATTTTTAATTAGTGAATTGCTAATCTGTTCTATATATGTATATATATATGTGTATTAAATATATTTGAAAATTTGGCCGCACTAAACTAGAAGCAATTTTTGTGAAATAATAATAATAATTAAATTAAGCTGATTTAATCGTCTAGCGAATGAGTTATTTTCGCCCGAGATATAAATATAAACTCAATACGGATTATAGCGATTGTAAATAAATAACGAAGATTATTAATAGCGATGATTCATACCCACATTTAAAAATATATAGATGTTTAATTCCGGAATATTTATCTTACTCGTGTGAAAATACCGATGGTGATAATATGTGTTAGTCTTCAAACTATAAATGACATAATATATTTAATTGAAATTTTTTTGGATAGATACATCTAAAAAATGTTTCAATTTGATACAAATTCAAAAGTTTAATTTATTTAATGGCTTGTGTTATTAACGATATTACTATTTTATTTTGTATAAAAATAATAATCAAGCTGAAATAATAAATAATATGAACTAATTTTAATTTTTTATTTACAATGTTCCCTTGATACGAGAATGTGTTTTTTTTTTTTTTTTTTTTTTATATATTGCTCTTTTGGGATTACTATGCGTTAGTTGTAATCAGTTTTATGATTTTAATTTTACATACTATTCCTATTACCAAATGTACTTTTGGCATATATGTCTCTTAAAATTGATCAATAATAATTTTTTCTGTAGTAACAATTCATCGAAATTTAATCAAACACAAAGATTTAATGAGTTACAAAATGCATTGTGAGTTATCAAGTAAATTATTAGTAAAAATGAGGTTTAAATTTCATAATGATCAATAATTAACGTCTGCATGAGTTATTAACAATAAAAGTATAGTAATATAGGTGATATTTTTTTTTTTTTTTTTTTGAGAATAATTCAAAGCTACTTGAGTATAATGATTCCAG